AAATACCAGCTCTTTGGAAACAAATATAGAAATTGTTGAGGCTCACGGGGACGGGAATCATCAATTGGTTTGAACGCCTGGCAACTCAAGCAAAACGCCCGAAGACAAAATCAAATCTGAATTCGAGTCGGGCCTGAATGGAAATCTGAATTGAAGTCGATCGAGCTTGGGTAATCCGCTCCCCTTTAATACTAAATTGTTTTTGGTGCCTACTCGTCAGAATATTCAAATTTTGACCCAACCCCATTCCAAATATATTTGTGGCGTAATATTCAGCTGCGTGTGTCTCTCCGTTTTAGTCTGCCAGGGAACGGCACCCCTTTATTTCCCTCTCTGGCTGTGACTGTGGGTCAAAACAGCCGTATATCGTTAAGAAGCACAGCCGAAGAATAAAGAGGAGAAGCCTGTGGAGAAAAGAAGAAGCGAAATAACCAAACTGGAAAATTGCAATTGGATAATGTCGTGTTCCTCGCGACACGTAATACAAAGTGTAACAAACAAAGAACCGTTAGGAGATAGAAATTAACGACGTGGTGGGTGTGACGAGCTAAACTTTTTTTGACAATATCTTAGTTGGTTTTATATAATAACATTTATAAATCTTAGGACCGTGAAATACACTCATAATAATTATACCCGTTGTTTGTAGAGTAAAGGGTATATTGTACTCATCGGAAAGTATTTAACAGGTAGATGGAACCGTTTCCGACCCTATAAAGTAAATGTATTCTTAATCAGGAAAGTAATCAAAGGAAGTATAAGAAGGCAGAATTATTTCAATACTATACAAAAGCGTATACCCTGTAGTATTAATTTAACACTAAATGTTATAAGGTTTATACTCTAAGGTATTCTACGGGCTTTCGTTCCTCGTGTAAAACTAGGACAATACCGAAAAAATGAAAACTAAAAACGAAACAAAAGAAAACTCGACTATTAGATAACCTTTAATCAGCTAAAGAGAATCTGAGACAGATGACGATATATTTGCTTGTGGCCAGCGCCATCTAGCCTATAACACCAACTAGTCCTTGCGGCTTGGTCGCGCATTAGTGAAAACAGCTGATTTGCTGTGCAATATAGATTGAATAAGCAACATATTGATTTTTATTTGGTTTTGGTATTTTAATAATTTTGGCAATTATTTGTACCCAGGGAAAAACGCCGCGCTAAAAACAATTAAAAACAGACTTGATATAAGAACGATTTCATGCTGAACTTTTAGAGAACTTTCGTACTGAAAAATTCTTAAATTGAGTACAATTTGGATTCAAATAAGATCAAGCAGAAAAAATACTTAAATGAAGTACAGAAGTATTCGAATCAAGACTAAAAATATTTACTTCAAGATCGAATACAACTTAATAATAGCACAAACACGTTTTTTTTAATAAAAATAAAGTTCTGGTTAAAAAATTTGGGACAGATAATAGCATGATACATCCTTATATACTTGCAATGCAGTACTAAAATTTTAATTTTTCTCAAAGGGTGTAAAAATCTGCTTCTTCGATAAAGGATACGGTCAGACTATCAAATTATTTGATTTAAACAAAGCTACTTACATTTATGGCTAGCATTTTTAAATGCAAATTTAAAAAGATATTTTTTAATTTTAATGAATGTTAAATTTTATTCGGCTGACCGTAGCTTTTGGATTTCTTGACGTTCTCTCCGTTCTTTTAAGAACCATTAAACGGTCACACTTGGCTTAGAAGCGTCTTACTTCACCCAAGCGTTTTCGCGGCACATTGTGAATAAACTTGAAGTGTAAATACATTAGTGAAACAAAAAAGGACAACAATGACTGAAAAAGAATGTGGAGATGATCCTCTGTATAAACTTTCAAAAAAGATGGAAATGGCGGTAGTGCATACATTTCTAACAGGTAAAAAAGCACGCGTTTTTTGGAACAATTGTAATATTCATACATAGAGGTAAAACATTGTGTGTATGTATAAATGAACCGTTTGCGATTCAGAAACGCACATTCAATACCTGCCCTTTCTGTTTTAAAAATTATAAAATATGTCTTAGCTTTAAATGTGTACAATGTACATAAATACGTTTTTAATAAGTGGTAATAACATTTCCAGAATTTTAGAAATTCTGTACTGAGTTCTTTGAGAATTAACTGTAAGCACGTGTTTTACTCGTTAAAAAAGCATACATACAAACAAGTGGACAGTGGATCCCGTTAATATTCGGTTTTTTTTTCAACTTCAAACGCGAATAGAATGTTGAAATCAAATAATAACAAACAATCTTAAAATAAAAAAATTAAAGTTTTTTTATTACCAATTCATCGAGGTACATATCATATGGGTATGTTAAAAAATAAAAGTAAGAACATACATAAACAACAAAAAACTCAACATTTTGCGATACTTTAATATTCGGTTTTTTCTTTAAAACTACAAAAAAAAACAACCATGACTTTACTTTATAGGCCTTGTGCTTCGGGTCGTTGTCCTGATATAACTTAAAGGTGTTGCCAATGCCCCTTTTCTCTGCAGACTGCTTCAAGTTTTCTTGTAATATTTTAAGGTACTGGTCCTGGTTAATTTATACCATTTATAAACACTAGATTTCCCACTCCTTTTGTAGAAATGCATCCCCAAGTCATAACACTTCCTCCGCCGTGTTTTGCTGTTGGTCTTAGGTGTTGTTTCTGGAGCTCGGTATTGGGTTTCCTCCAAACCATAGTCTTGCCATCACTGCCGAAAAGGTTAAACTTGCTCTCGTCCAAGAAAACGACATCGTCCCACCAGCTTTGGTGCTTTTTGGCGTACTCCTGGCGAAATTTTCCCTCAATTTCCGGTTGCGGTCAGCCAGCAAAGGCTTCTTTCGAGCGACCCTGCCGTTGTACCCTTGTTTTTTTATGGTACGTCGAACGGTTTTCGCTGAAACGGTCTTTCCGTGGTCGTCAAAGAGTTCGGCCTTCAATTCGGGTGCACTTAGTCGAGGATTTTTCTTAACCTTTCGGACTATTTCCGCTTCGCGATCAGTCAATTTTTTGTGTTGTCCTTTCTGCTTTATTGACGCCACTCTTCCCCTTATTTTCTGCGGCCGATGTCACCGACCGTATTTGGCTTCATTTCCAGGATATCGGCAGTTTCCATGTAAGTTTTGCCCTCTAGATGCAACTGGAGGACAAGTTTTCGCTGCTCCAAGGACAAATTCTTACTTTTGCGGCTAATGCTTGCGGCTTGTTTGGTGTCAACTATTGTCGGTCAGATGTTGGCTTTTCGGGGAAACATAATAATTCCGCCAATTTTTGGCCATTTGGAGTTGCCACAGGGCTTTATTTTTTATACGACTTTCGAAAAATACTGAATATTCAAGTAACGCAAATATAGAGTTTTTTTTGGTTTATGTATGTTTTTTCGTTAAATATCAAATAGAGTGTTAAAATATATATATACATGAAAAGGTAAGGCCTAGTATTCAACCTAACAAAAACTGGACCAAAAAAAATACTATTTTTAAGCCATTATTTCTTAAGGGTCCAGTGTGTATTAATGTGGTAATATCCACTTTTATATATTTACGTTCACACTGGCTTGAGTAAAATCCAAAAATTGTAAACAAATAAAATTGATACTGCACTTCTAAAAAGAATAGAAATGAATGCTGTAATAGCTACTGTTGTTACAGCATTAGTTATCAAGGACGAAGACAAAAAGAAGCGACCTAGATCTTGTTGGGTTAATCCGTATTTGGCTGAACGTCTTAAGAAAGGACGATTTTCAACAGATTTAAGATATACAACAAGAATAGACTACATTATAAATATCTTCTTTCACAGTTTGAAAATCTAACACAAAATCCGTCGCTTTTTTTTGAAAACTTTCATATGAGTATGGTCCAATTCCAAGAATTGTATGAAAAGTTGAAGCCAATTCTTGTCCCAAAAATGTTTTCTCGTTCTGACTCTATTCGCCTATTAGTACTTAAGTAAGTTGTTCTGCAAATCGCGAGTACTATTCACGAAATTTTTAACCTAGGTATCTAGCTTCGGGTGATATTCAACGTCATATTGCTTCATCTTATCGAATAAGCAAACAACAAGCACTGATATATGCAAGCAACTTAAAAATGAAGTGCCTCCCTGGACCAAGGAAACGATGCTGAAAAATGCCGATGATTTTGAAAATGTGTGAAATTTTCCTAACTGTGTAGGAGCGATTGACGGGAAATATGTTCCCATGAAGGCCCTACCTCAAAGTGGCAGCGTATTCTTTAACTATAAGGTAGTTTTAATTACCTGAAAATATCTTTTTGGGATTTAACGAACTGTTTTTTTCTTGAAGGGATTCCACTCGATTGTAATATTGGCTGTTAGTGACGCTAATTACAGATTCATTTATTTAAATATTGGAGCGTAAGGAAGTGAAGGAGACATGAACGCATTTTCTCATTGTAAGCTTGGCAAAGCCATCTTTTTGGACCAGTTGGACTTTCCAGATGACAAGCCACGAAATGAAGTTATGGTGCCATATTACTTGGTGGCAGATGATTCATTTCCATTGTCTAAGCGAATTATGAAGCCGTATAGCTTGAGAAACTTAACTAAAGCTAACATAGTTCTCAATTATCGGCTTAGCCGAGCGCGAAGAGTCGTAGAAAGTGCATTTGGCATACTAAGCCATAAGTGGATGGCCGTGCACAGAACTCTCATGTGCCATCCAGATAGAGCTAAAAATATTGTCGCTGCCTGTTGCTTACTCCAGAATTATGTCCTTAGAAAATGTCCATTGGACTATAATATTAATGAACATATCAATCCAGTTCTTCACTCTTTGCCTGCTGAATTCACTCAATTTCGTGGCAGAGTACAGGAATATCCAAAATATGTAAGAGATAGCGTAAAGAACTGTGTTAACAGTCCACAAGGTTCATGTCGTTGGCAAAATAAATAAGCTGGTCATAAGTCCTAGTTATTAAAAAGGAACTTTTCGAATTTGCGTCGTTTTTTTTATATTTCTTTATTTAACAATTTACTCCTTGTTTAATGCTTTCAGGGATTCCTCGTGAATCAAAGTGCTAGCCTTACTTACGGTTAGCTGGGCCTGTTGATATGGCATGTTGTTCAATAGGCTGTCCCAGTAGCCAAGTGCGGATGCGAATGGTGAAAGAACCCTCTGATTTTGTAGGTTGATCTGTGTATCAATAGTTTCCTTTGATTCCTTCAAGTACCCGCCGAGCATTTCCACTAGAGCCATGTTTTCATTCGTCTTCGGTTTTCCCTTGCCCGGTTTCGCCTTTTGTTTCTAAGAATAGATCTGGGGTTATAAAAGTCCGATAATATTAAAATATTGCTTACATAGTCATAATTGCTTTTCGGCGTTGATGCAGAACTTCTTGAGACTTCATCGTCGAGAAAATCAATGGACTCGTCGTCTTCGGTGAAATTTGTGTCGAATGTTTTAAAAAATTGGAACTTCTTTCTAACTCATATAAAGGATAAATGACTTACGTTCTCTTTGTGGAAAAGTCGGGCAAGAAGGACATGCGGTCGCCAAACTCCCACAGAACTTTCGGTTGGGACTCCAAAGCGACCCTGCCATCTGCACCACTTTTTTGGAATCGTAGAGAAGCCTGCTTACGATGGTACCTATAACTCTCTCGTAGAGAGGTCCACGCATCTTTGCATTCAATAACTTATTAAAAATAATAATGTTAGATAATTATCCATGCTTATTGATAATAACGTACCAGTTTTATTGTATATAAAGTTTCGGCAATGAATTCCCAATCCGCCCTGACAGCGTTAATGTCGCTATGCTTCGGGTTAGTGAGGTCCCAATTGAGCCATGGTTCCTAACGCAATGAATAAGCAAATTCTTTTCATCACTTGAGAACCCCTTGGTGCGCTTCCGTCGTTGCGAAATCATTTTGTTAGATTTTAACTTAAAGTGACATTACCCGGCCGTCTATCGAAAATGTTCGATAGCTCAAGAAATATCTAAAATAAATTATTTCTTGAGCGGTATTTTAGTATTTTTTTTTGGGAGGCTGCCGCCCCAAAAACTTCAACAAAAATTTTGCAGCCAAAAATTTTGTGACGCTTATTTTATATGAAGTTTTTGTTTTTGGACGACTTTTTGTTAGGTTGAATACTAGGCCTAATATTAAAAGCTAGAATATACCAAAAAGAACAAAATTTCCTTCCTTAGTCTTATAAATTTTATTCGCGTTTGAAGTTGAAAAAAAAAACCGAACATTAATTTGATCCACTGTACATATATAGTTTTGGTTTTTTCGTTTACATAAAAAAGAGGAATAGAAACGCCGACTAGTGGCGTACTGGTCAGCATAGTTATCAAATTTCACAATGTGCCGCAAAAACGCTTGGGTCAAGTGAGACGCTCTCAAGCAAAGTGTGACCGTTCTATGATTTTTAAAAGAACTGCGAGAACGTCAAGAAATCTAAAAGCTTCGGTCAGCCTATTAAATTTTAACATTCATTAAAATAAAAAAATATCTTGTTAAATTACATTCAAAAATGCTAGCCATAAATGTATGTAACTTTGTTTAAATCAAATAATTTGATAGTCTGGCCGTATCAAAGAAGAAAATTTTAACACCCTTTGAGAAAAATTTTTGTACTTAATTTAATTTTGTGGTATTACATTATTTCTTGAAAACGATCCGGTTTGTGTCCGGTATACAACTTCGGCTTGCCGAAGTTAACTTTTTTTCTTGTTTTTGACAGCATTTTATAAATATTTTTGTTTTTCAAGACTGATATTGATTTCGACCTTATGTATCCTGGAAAAGGTTTTCATTTGCTTTCAAAGTGGCAAGAATTTCGGCAAAAAATAATTGGTTATTACAAAGACAACAACATTAATGAACATTGGAAAGCCCAACTCTTGCTTGTAAAAAACTGCACCAATATAGGTAAGTTTAACATTTCTTGTTATTTAATACCTAAGCATAGAATAGTTTGTATTTATTTTGTGATTCACTTTTTTTGTACTAATACTAATCATTTTTATACCCGCTTTTTTGACAAAGCGAATACTATTCCTTTTATTTGTATTATAAATATAAAATAATAAACTGTACTAATATAACAGTTGCCCAGGACTTCATAATCGCCACATTGCTGAATGCTGTTTTGCCCTCATCAGGCCGCTTCAAGAATGAAGATGGAAATTGTAGGCTACAATACTGGACGCGCAGGAGAGTTTCGAGCTGAGACTAGTAACTATTAATGACTTCGAGATCCCATTGTACCGAGTCAAACAAGTAATACAGTTCGGGTTTTAAATTACAACCTATTATTATTGTAGTTGGTCCTTTCGATTGTGAGATCAACGAATTTTTTTTATATTTTGATGGAAATCTAATAAGTGGCCCATATGAAAATAATATATTTGATCAAGGGCAACAGTGCGTATGAGTTATAAACTTTGAAACCAATTCGCAGACCCTAAAACTCGTTTTTTCAAAAAATTTCTTTTAATATACATTAAATAGCTCAAAGCGCACCGTAAAGGCGGGTGAGAGTAGGACCTTAAAAATTTCCATACAAATGTGGACCGCCCCAATGTACATATATATAAGATTATAAGTTGTTTTAGTTATAAGGAAAATATTGTTGTACTATGTAATAAAGTAGATTTAATTTGATTTGACAAGCATTTTCATTTTTATGAAATCGGACACATTTTGCATTTTAAGCATTAATGAAATAACTACTCTTCCATTGCACATATATACAATTACGGAAACGAAAAATCGTATCTTAAATTTATGTATATATAGAAACTATAAAATAAACATGTAAAATAAAATGTAAGCCAAACAAATGGCTTCTTAATAGTATATAGAAAATGTGAAACAAACATGTAAAATAAAATGGAAATCAAAACAATAGAATTCTAAGCGTATGTAGCAACTGTAAAATAAACATGTAAAATAAAATGTAAGCCAAAAAAATAACTTCCTGAGGGTATAAACGTGTCTGAAATTGAGTTTTACCATACCTTGTTTTAAGAATGGGGGGGGTTTTAAGAACTAACAGTTCTTAGGTCTGGAATGATGTGATTTTGATATAATAATAATTCCTGCTTAACTTAAAATTTATATTGCCTTAATTTAAAAATGAAATGTTCTTGAACTTAGTATTTCTACTCTAGCTTCAAGAGTATAATTTACTTGGTTTAGCAATTGTTTGTCCTTAAATCAATCCTACAATTTTCTTAATTAATTAATAAAACGTACTTATTTCAAGTATATACAGTGGGGAGCAAAAGTGATTCCATGTTTAGCATATGCATGTTTGACCCCTCATAAACCAAATAGACTTAAATACTACAATAATACAAGAATAAATATAAGAGATAGAAATAAAAAACAAAAACACAAAAACAGAAGGCATGTAGTCCGTTTTGCCCCTTTTATGAAAAATTCTAAAGAAATATTAAATTATTATTTGGTCCAAAGACCCTTATTGTCTATTACATTTTTTATAATATATAATTTTTTTCGGAACTCGATCTCCACGCGTTTCCAGAGGTCGTCAAGGTTGCATGGGGCCGATTGATACTGCCCGAGCAGTCGCTTCAAAATTGACCATAAGTTTTCAATTAGATTAAAATTTTGTTTTGCCAACCATTCTTTTACAATTTTCGTTGTGTGCTTTGGATCCCCATCCTGTTGGAAAGTGATTTCTCCTTCAGGATAGGCACTCTTATCGAGAAAATTGTGAAGACGGGGTTTTAATAGTCCTCTTGTTGCATTATCCCATCAATTTTTTGCAACGGCTCAACGTTCCACCATGTGAAGCACCACCAGGCCATTATATTTCCTCCTCCATGCCTTACGGTTTGATTTGCTTGTCACCGGGCCTATGCCAATAATACTGCTTGCCATCCGACTGGAAACGGCTAAACTTAGATTCGTCCAACCAGACAACACGTTTCCAGTCTTCTATTGTCCAGTTTTTGTGTGTCTTTGCAAATTGTAACCGAGCTCTAACATTTTTCTCGGATAGAGATGATTTATTTTTTGTAACAGAGGCGACATATCCAATTCTACCCAGCGCTCTTCTAGTTGTCCATTGACTTACGGTTTTATTTAACTCCTTAGAAGCCTCTTTTGGTGTTAAAAGCTTTTCCTTCCTCATGTTGGACATCAAAAGTCGAGCGTCAGAGTCCGTTAGAAGGCGGCGGCGACCATTCAACACGCTTTGGAAACAAACATTTTGTCTTTTTTTCACCTTAACCAACACTGACTGACTAATTTATAGCTTCTCAGCAATTGTGCGTGTCGAACAACCACTTTTAGTCATGAAAACAATACTATTTTCGGTATCTGGCGATAGCTTCTTCATTTTACAGATATAAGTTGGAGACTAATTTCTTAATTCATTAAATCTACTTTGAACTGTAAAAAATGTGCGACTTTCTGAATTATGACAACGAATAATGAATGAAAAAGACATAAAACGGTACATCTGCAAGTATTTTGCAGGTAAGAAAACAGGGAGAGCAAAAACAAGTGCGAATAACGGAAGGTGCAAAACTGAGTACATGCCTTTTGTTTTTGATTTGGTTCATTGCTTTACGTTTTATGAGCTGTTGAACATGCATATGCTGAACATAGAATCACTTTTGCTTCCCACTGTGTATGTCCAGACTTAAGAATACTTTATTATTGTTTTGAGAAAGCTCCATACTTGATTAATCCTCAGCGTTCTTAAGTCGTGCTAAGACCAATAATTTGAGGACTTGAAAATTCGTGCTTGAAAGAAGTATTTTGTTCTGGGGCTCTGTATTTTTCATGCTTGGCGAAGTTTTGACACCGAAAATACTTGCTTCAAGCACGAAATACTTAATACCAAAGCTATAGCGCCCACAGTTTTTGTGCTAGAAAAAATGTTTAACTTAAATGTATTGATCTCGTCAACACCTATCGATTGACCTTTACAAAAGATTGCCACGACAACTCTAATGACCACAAACGCTTAAAACTGTCTGCCGCCCACATAACAATATATTGAAATCGGGGGTAGGTGGCGCTTTACAATCTCGCTTTGCTGCTTTCTTGTCTCCATCTCCCTTCTGCGCCCTTTAGCTGAGTAACGGGTATCTAATAGTCGATGCAAATTAATGTTAATTGAACATTAAAAAAAAAAATTTCTTAAAAATAGAACATTTTCTACAAATTGGAGATGATGTATTCAGTTTGCCACGCCCACTTCAACGCCCACAAGCCGCCCACAAACTTAAAAAATCATAAATTTGAACGCGGATATTTCGGAAAATATCAAAGACAGCGAATTGGAATTTCAGATTTAGATTTCGTAGCCTTGACCGCAGCGCAAGTTTGTTACGCAAATATGCCACGCCCACTCTAACGCCCACAAACCGCCTAAGCCTGTGGCGCCCACAATTTTCAAGCTAGAAAAAAATGTTAACTGAAATGTATTAGTCGCGTCAATACCTATCGATCGACCCCAAAAAAAGTTTGCCACTAAATCTGTCTACCGGCCACATAACCATATATTGAGATCGCGGGTAGGTGGCGCATTTCAATCTCGCTTTACTGCTTGCATATCTCCATATTCCTTTGGTTCATTTAGCTGAGTAACGGGTATCTGATAGTCGAGGTACTCGACTATAGCGTTCTCCCT